TCAGCATTGTCTTCCTATTACAATTCTATTTCCATCCTCTTGTTTGTTTTCTTCCAGACTCGAGATATCAGGCACTTGCGCTTGGACACTTAGAGGATATTTTCATGCCGAATTGGAGAAGATTGAGAAAGAAATAAAGCACAGCTGGGCCTCCCTCTGTTATTAATGTTATGAAAATATTAGTGAATGCAGATAGAAAACAGGCATCCTTTTTAGTATTTGCAGAATATTTATCATATAGAGTACTTTTGTTAGTATGAATTTTTAAAAGATTGTGGCGTATTCAACTAAACATTCAGTTAGAAATGGAGCTTTAGCTTGGCCTAGCAGGATGCCGGGGTCACATCAGTGGAACCCAGCCAAGCCTCCTTTCTGACTGGCCACTTTGTCGGTATGAATTCTATTCTGTAATTATAATATGAAGCCCTCTATTCTATACAGCAAAGTTATTGTTGTGCTCCTTGGGGAGTAAAGCTTCCCTGACTTCCTTTCTCTTTCATGAATCTTTGTTGTTCCCTGAGAGTCACAGTCACCACCATTTTATCAAACTTGATTGCTTAAACTGAGGACAGAGATTTAAAAATCAAAAGCCAATGCATTAACAAAACTATGCTTGGCTTAGGCTTATTGTGCTCCTTATCCGTTGCAATCAATGCTGGATTATCTATTAAGAATGCTGGAGGAGAGGCAGGAAAAAAGTACACAGTGTTTTTTCATAGACAGAAATTCAGACAAATGTGATAGTTAAGGTGGTACCTTTCCCAAATACATAAAGGCAGTTGGGACAAGGAGAGCTGAGACAGAATATTACCACAACACAACTGCACTCAGTTTTGTTGGAAGACCAGGAAACTGAATTACAGAAGCTAGGAACCCTCTCTTTACTAGGGTCATTAACTTGAATAATAAGAACTGTTTCTTCCCTAAACATATTTCTGCCACCCAAAAATAAAAATAAAAATTAATTAGAATCCTCAATAGATACTGAGTATTTTAAAAAAAAAAAAAAAAAAGCAGATTTGCATATATATGAGAAGGATGTTATTTCCTTCCAATACAAGATATGTGGTAACATCCTTACCTTTGTTTACTTTTTTATGTCCTCAGGATGGCAGGGGTATTCAGATTAGGTGATGAAATTCAACATATCTGAATATGAATTCTGGCTTTTCCAGTTCTGAGGTAGAATATACAAGGCCTGGCATATAAACTATGGTCTATAAATTTAAGCAATAATAATTATTATCACTATCACTAGTAGCAGTGATTTTTATCAGAGCACTACAGCATCAAACCCTTTTGATGACATCCTTTAGTGGAGATTTCAACAGATCAGAAAAAAATCAAACACAAAATTGACTTTTGCCAGATATGACCTATAATGGGTTATAGACCTTATTATGGGCAGAGATGAAATGAAATGGAGACAGGGGGAAGCTTGAAAGTTGACCTTCTGGAAAATATTTATTTATCTGAATATTCTGAGGGAGGTCAGTAGCTATAGAAACTTTCTGAGGACAATTGGAAGATAATTCACTAAAAGTGAATTTTCACAGAATGCATAAAGTGAAAATGTTATAGAATATTATAGCAATGAGGCAAAGTCTATAAATTAAAAAACAGAGTGATGGATTAATAGGGAAAAATAAACAAATGGGACTACATCAAACTAAAATGTTTTTGCACAGCAAAGAAAACCATCAACAAAACGAAAAGCCAACCCACTGAATGGGAGAACATATTCACCAATGTTACATCTGAAAAGTGGTTAAAATTTTACAAAGAACTTATAAAACCATGGTGGCTGTGTATTCCTATGAGTGTATCTATAGTACTACAATATTGTTTTTACCTGCTAATATTCACTAAACAGTGCCTATGAAGCATTTCTCTTAAGTTGAATCACTCAGAACTTTCATTCCAAAGCAGATTTGGATTCAGTGGATCTTAAGAAGGCCATGGACTCTGCATCTCATCAAGCTCCTCCCAGGTAATGCACACACTGCAAGTCTGGTGATCACACCTGCAGAACCGAGGCCCTAATAAAAAACTAAATTCACGTAGGAACTGAAGCTATTTTGATCACTCTTATAGCACCTTCATTTAGTAGGGTGGCTGGCACAGAGTAAATATATACCATATTAATGTAAGAATGAATAAAGACATGTTCCATGCTCTTCATAAAACTGGCTGTTAAAGAGAAATTGAGGATCACTATTAATTTGTGAAATATTTGGATTCCATATTCTGATCATGATTTTTTGAGTTAAATCTGTTCTTCTTTGTTCATGATGTATATGAAACTAATTTTTGGTTTTGCTAATTTGCTAACAGCGACTGTCTGCATATCTTCAGCTATATGATACATTGCAAATTGCTTTCCTGGGCCCAAGTAATCACATTTTCTTCTTAATCACATGTGAGTAATTTGTACGTAACCTACTGAAGAGATAGAAGAAGGTGAATGGCTGATATGTGTATTTCATGTATATCCATGAATCATAAAGTCCACTAATCGCAATTCCCCTAAGAGAAGCAAAATTCTGTATTTTTAGTAAATGATACCTAGGATCTTTGTTTTTATTACAGTAAAGTTTTATGATTTATTTATTACAAATGTTTGCATGACCTGGACATATTAAAACTGATTGTATACAAGAATAAAAAATGTTAAAGAATACTTATAATCAGCCCTGGCTGGTTTGGCTCAGCAGTTAGAGCATTGGCCCATGAACCAGAGAGACCTGAGTTTGGTTCCCGCTAAGGGCACGTACCTTGGTTGCAGTACGTCCCCGGCCCTGGTTGGGTTCGTGTGGGTGACGACCAGTTGATGTGTCTCTCTCACATTGATATTTCTCTCTCTCTCTTCCTCCCTCTCTCCCTCCCACTTTATCTGAAGATAAATGAAAAATGTCCTCAGATGAGGATAAAAAAAAAAAAAAGAATACCTATAGTCAATAATATTGTAATAACTAAGTATGGTACTAGGTGGGTACTAGATTTATCAGGGGGATCACTCCATAACTTATATAAATGTCTAACCACTATACTGTATACCTGAAACTAATGTAATAGTGAATGTCAACCAAATTGAAAAAAGAATACCCTTGAAAACAATATAAGAAATAGTTAAAATATAAGTACGTACTATATAAGCTTCAAAATTTATACCATGAGAGTCTGCTACTCTGGTTGCATTTTCACTTGCTGTCTCACAGTTAGAGTCACTTTATTCCTGTTCTCAGTATCATTTTAAAATAACTTCTCTAGTTATCTGATCTTCCCAAATTTTATTCTTTAGCTTTCAGATCCCAAGGTGCTGATGTCTGCTAGAGCTAGAGATTGTATACTGTTTGACGAAGAATCACATATTGTTTGGAGAATATTTTCTGGTCATTTTCACATGGCTTCACAGAAATTCCTTCATTAACCCATTGTTGGTACCAAGTAAATGCCCCCAACATTCTGAAAAGCAAATGTTAGTCTCTCGGCTCAACCCCAACTGGATCTCATTCTCACTTTTCTTCCACTAGATGATTTTGCTTCCTAATTAACTGAAGTCTATTTGCTTTCCCTCGTCTCCTTTAAGACCTCTTGGTATCTCCCTTTCCATATTTTTCTCGTTTTGGTTTTTGAGGATGAACTATCTCTCTTCCTTGCCTCAAATAAGCCCTCCATCTATACCTTTGGTGTCATGCCCTCCTGTCAATTACGGGACTATGTTTTATTATCTGCTAGCACTTATGTTGGAATTGGTACACTCTGCAGATAATATGTAAACATCTGTAAATATTCTCACATCCTCATTATCCTAATAAATAAGACATGTGATAACCATATCATCTCATATTTATAACATACTTTGCCTGCTTAACTTTCTTAAGCAAACTTTTCAACTTTCCCCTTTGTTTGCTTTTAGATATGCTACATTGCCAGTGTCCCCCCCCCCCCCCCATATCCGCATTTACTGCTGCTGTGCTGCCCCAAAGAATTTGCCTTGGAGACTTCCAAATACATGGAGCAAAACTGATCAAGGGTCCCAATTGCTGTGCTCTGAAATCAATGTCACACTGGCTCAGAGATTAAGTTTCCAATGAGCTGCTTCTAGTCAATAACTGAGCGCAACAGGGATACTAAGACAGGCTCTTTCCTGGGAGACACAAGACTCCCTGATGAACTTCCTGAACCTTCATTGCATTGCACAGGAATCAGTGTCTCCTTACCTTCTCTCCCTTTCTCTTCCCTCAGAGTCAGATTTGCATCACTGTCTCATGACTCTCCCGTCTTTTTCTTGCTCCACCCCCATGATCTTTCACAGGCATTCCTTCTAATAAAATCCTTGGATCTTTATCCTGTTTGTGCCTCCTGCTTGAAGAACCTGGACTAACACACCTGGTAATCTAAGCCTTTCCTCTTTAGTCTCTTCAGTGTTCTAATAAAGATGCTCCCTCTAAAGTCACCAACAACTGCTCAAGATCCAAATGTACTCTCCATCCTTTTGTCTACTCTACAGAGTAGTCAACTTTTAAGCATTTACCTACCCTAAAACACTGTCTTGTTTTGGTTTGGCACTGATCTATCTTCTCTAAATTTTTCACTATAGTTTTCCTGAATCCTACTTTTGTTTCACCTTATCCTTTAAGCAAAGGAATCCTCCAATACCTTATTTTGTCATTTTTTATGCTTTCCTTTCTTGATGTCACCATGCCCATTATTATTATTATTTTAATCCTCACCCAAGGACATTTTTGCATTTATCTTGAGATAGAGCAGGAGGGAGAGAGGGAGGAAGAGAGAGAGAGAAACATCGATGTGAGAGAGGAACAATGAGTAGTTGCCACCCACATGACCCCAACCAGGGCCGGGGACAAACCTCAACCAAGGTATGTGCCTTTAGTGGGAACCGAACCCGGGACTCTCTGGTCCACAGGCTGTCACTCTAACTGCTGAGCCAAACCAGCCAGGGCACCATGCTTATAATTTTCTTTCCTTTTTTTTTTTTAAATATGGAACACTTCACGAATGTGTGTTATCCTTGCGCAGAGGGCCATGCTAATCTTCCCTGTATCCAACTTTAGTGTGTGTGCTGCCAAAGCGAGCACTTAACCATAGTTTCTTACAAGAGAACTCCTAATCTTATACCATATTCCTCAACTTTACATTTGAGATTATATATATTTTTTACTTCAACTTTTATATTCAGCATGTTTTTACTTCTGATTTGCCTTATCTGTACTTCTGAGTCTGGTTGCTGTGGCTAAGATGTCCAGTACTCTGTTGAATAAGAGTAGGGAAAGAGGATATCCCAGTTTTGTTCCTGCTCTTAAGGGAAATGCTTTGAGTTTTTGCCCTTTGAGTATGATGTTGGCTGTTGGTTTATCATATATGGTCTTTATTATGTTGAAGTATGATCCTTCTATTCTCATTTTGTTTATGTGGTGATTCAATAAATGTGATTTGTGAATAATACACCAGCCTTGCATCCCTGAGATAAATCTCACTTGGTTGTGGTGAATAATGTTTTAATGTATTGCTGGATTCAGTTTGCTAATATTTTGTTGAGAATTTTGGCATCTATATTCATCAATGGTATTGGCCTGTAATTTTCTTTCTTTGTAGTGTCTTTATCTGGTTTTGGAAGTCGTCCAGACCAGGGCTTTTGTTTGCTGGGAGTTTATTGATAACTGCTTCAATTTTCATAGTTATTATTGGTCTGCACAGACTTTCTGACTCTTCCTAGTTGAGTTTTGGAAGACTTTATGATTCTAGGAATTTGTCTATTTCCCCTAGTTTGTCCAATTTGTTGGCACATAATTGTTCATAGTATCTCCTTACAATCCTTTTATTTCTGTGGTGTCAGTTGTTACTTCACCTCTTTCATTTCTGATTTTATTTATTTGGATCCTCTCTCATTGTTTCTTGGTGAGTTTGGCTAAAAGCTGATTAATCTTGCTTGTCTTTTCAAAGAACCAACTCTTGGTTTCATTGATCTTTTATATTGTTTCTTTAGTTTCTATGTCATTTATTTTCACTCTGGTCTTTATTATTTCCTTTCTTCTACTTACTCTGGGATTTTCTTTCTGTTCTCTTTCTAATTCTGTAAGTTGTAGGGTTAGATAATTTATTAGAAATTTTTCTTATTTCTTGAGGTAGGCTTGTATTAATATGAACTTCCTCTCATGACTGTTTTCGCTGGGTCCCAAAGATTTTGTGTTGCTGTGTGGGGATTTTCATTAGTTCCTAAGAAGTTTTTTTTATTATTATTTCTTCCTTGATTTCATTGGTAACCATTTATTGTTTAATAACATGCTATTTAGCCTCCATGTGTTTGAATTTTTTTTTAGTGGTTTATTGTAATTGATTTCCAGTTTCATGCCATTGTGATCCGAGAAGATGCTTGACATGATTTCAATCTTCTTGAACTTGTAGGAACTTTGTTTGTGTCTTAACATGTGGTTTAACTTTGAGAATGTCCCATGTGCACTTGAGAAGAATGTATATTCTGAAGCTTTGAGGTGAAATGTTTGGTAAGTATCAATTAAACCAGATATCTACTGTGTTGCTTAGGGTCCTTATTTTCTTGTTAATTTTTTGTCTAGAAGATCTATCCAGTGATGTCATTTAGGTGTTAAAATTCCCAACTATGATTGTATTGCTGGTCGATCTCTCCCTTGAAGTCCTCCAGATGTTTTTAATTATATTTTGGTGTTCCTACATTGGGTGCATATATGTTTACCAGGGTTACATCCTCTTGCTGAATCAATTTCTTTAATATTATTTAATGACCTTCTTTGTCTCTTATTATGAACTTCATTTTGTAGTCTATCTTATTAGATATGAGTATTGCTATACCAGCTTTTTTGTTTGTTTGTTTCCATTTGCATGGGAATTTTTTTCCCCATCCCTTTACTTTCATCCTGTGTGAGTCTTTTGTTCTGAAGTGGGTCTCTTGTAGACAGCATAAATTTGGGTCATGTTTTCTTATCCAATCAGCTATTCTATGTCTTTTGATTGGAACATTTAAGCCATTTACATATAAGGTAATTAGTGATAGTACTTATTTGTTGCCATTTTTATTCTTTATGCCTATGTTCTTCTCTCTCTCACTATTTCTTCTTCTTCATACAACAGTTCCGTTAGCAGTTCTTGAAGTACTGGTTTGGAGGTAGTAAATTTCTTTAGACTTTTGTCTGCAAAGCTCTTTATTTCACCTTCAATTTTGAAAGACAGTGTTACTGGATAGAGAAATATTGGATTCAGATCCCTGCTTTTCATTAATTTGTATACTTCATGCCACTCCCTGTGGGCTGCAGTGTTTCTACTGAGAAGTCTTTTATTTTTTTCATAGCTTCTACCTCCTTTTTCATGCTGATGTTGTTTCCACTGATTTCTTTATAATTTTCATTAAGTAGCTTGTAATTCTCACTAAGTTGTTTGAGCACCCCTAAAACCACTACTTTTAATTCTTTATCTGACAAACTACTTGCTTCCATTTCACTTACTTCCTTTTTTGGCAATTCCTCCTTTTCTTTTATCTGGGATTTGTTTCTTATCTCAACACTTTAGCAGCCTGGTAGTTCAGGGCCAGGTGAGGTGCACTGGGACGCATTGGCAGGTCGGTGTGTATAAGATAAAACATCTACACTTCCCAGTCTTGGTGGGGTGGCCTTTTTGTTGCACCCAGTGGAGTGGTCTCCTTGATCTTCTGAGCTGGGTGCTCTAGGAATGACCCTTGTATGGGTTATGTAGGCTCTCCTGTTGAATTTGGGTCTTGATTGCTGTTGTTTTTTTGTGGGTGGGTTCAGCCTTCATGGTTGTTGACTGTGCGTCTCAATCTCGACCCTCTTATGCCAACTGTTATATAGGAGCTGACAGGACAAAACAAGGCAAAATCAGACCAAATCAAAAACAACCTGAAAAAAATATTAGCAACAACAATGATAAAAGCAACCCCATCAACAAAACTATTAAAAGACAAACAAACAAACAGAAAATACACACACACACACACACACACACACACACACACACACACAATACTAGAAGGCACAAAACCAAAAGAATTAGAAGAGGAAAAAAAATAAGAATATGAAAGCAAAGAAGACAGATCAGAAATAGGGTACATATAAAAAATAAAAGGTAGAAAATAATGAATGAAATAATACTTTTAGAAAGTAATAATGCTAAATAAAATAAAATATAAAATGGGAAAAGAAAACAATAAAATTGAATTAAAGATTAAAATTTAAAAACAACCACCAACACAACAAAAAACCTTGGATTTTCTATTTGTGTAGCTCACTGGATTTTGCTCCAATGTTGTTGGATCTGGCCCCTTGGTATATGAGTCCCTGTCCTCTTGGGCAGTTCTGTGGTTCAGGCCAGTGTAAATTGTTATCCCTGCCTGGCGTTGGGCCACCTGGCTGAAGCCCTCCAGGGCCGGACCCCAAGTAGTCTGGTGGGAAGGGCTTCCCTAGCCCAGAGGCTGGGTCTGCTTTGGGGCTCACCACTTGAATATATTTTTTTCTGGGCTGCTTTCCCTTCCCCTTGGGTCTGGAGTATCAGGTTCAGTCAGGATGGTTTAAACAGATTTGCGTTGGGATGTGCCTGTAGCTTGTAGGAGGGGTAAGCAGTTGCTTCCTGTCCTTCCAATGCCTCAGCTCTGCCTGGGTTGCTGGCACACCCTTGTCACCACCTCAAGCACAGAAGAATAGAAAGAAAAAAAAGGAGAAAAAAACGGCCTTGCCTGGCTTTCTAGTCTTTCAACATTGCCGACTCTTGGTGGACAGGGCTTTTGCCCAGTCTCCCACTCAGACAGATGTCTGAGTGCCCAGTGCCACCAGGCCCAGCTGCTGGGGTGCTGATTTACAGTCCAGAGCTGTTCCACAGGTGGGGGAAGGGATGCCTCCTCTTCTCTTGAGGTGGGGAGGATTGTGCCTCTTTCCCCTGGCCCTCTGGCTAGCCCCCATCCAAGTTCTTTCAACACGTCTAGGCCACCCCTTACAGCATGATGCCACTGCATATTTTATATTCATTTCCATGTTCTGCTTCTCACAACTAGATTTCCAGCCTAGTTCTCCTTCTGACCCCCCGAATGTAATACCTATTTGCCAATGTACATCACTTTTGGATTATCCCACTGATACTAAAAACTTAATTTTCCCCTTGATTTTTACATTTTCTTTTTTCTCTGTCATCGAATCCTTCCACCAAATACCCCATTACCTAGCCAAAATATAAGCATGAACATCTCCTTCTATGTCATCCTGTGCATCTCATAAGCAAAGTTCTATATCATTTTATATCCTTTATGTTTTGATTAATCCATTGCATTCATCATGCCATTATCATAAATGGGTTCCACATCATTCTTTGACCAGATTTCTGTAACAGCCTCCTAACTGGTATCTCTTTTCCCTTGCAGCCCCATCATCAATTCCCCAGACAGTGTACAAAGTGATTTTTCTAAAATGTTAATCAGATCATGGTCCTCCTCTGTTTGAAACTTAATGGTTTCCAAGTTCTTATGGTAGGTTCATATATGACATACAAAGCCTCAAAACCACCGTGTTTCATCTTTATCATACCTGTTCTTCATATCATGTGCCCTGACTATCCTAAACTATTTCTACTTTTGGACATGTCCTGTCCTCTCTTGTATCTCTATTACTGCATCTCGGTCTATTTCCTCCCCTTTGCAAATGTTTATATCTTCCTCATGGACTTGCTTTCTGTTTTCCCCAGGAAAAGTTATAAATTATATGCTCCTCTTAAAGACTTCCAGATCCTGGTTATTTGCTCCTGGTAGACTTTAATACACCATTTTTATGTGTACTTAAGACAGTCCCCTTTAAACTATACAAGACATGGATTTATCTTTGAATATCCCACCTAACTCCTTCACTACTTAGCACATTCTAGGCAATCCATATTTGTGGAATGACTGAAAACATAAATAAATATTAAATTATTTCGAATCCACATTTGACTTTTATATCTTCTTCCTCTGAATGTTCCTACTCATTTCTGTACCCATTTTGTTATTTACTTTATTGTACCTAGTATTTGCTATTTGTGAAATGAACCTACTGTCACTAATATCAACTCTGTGAGTAAGTCCTATCCCAGAAGAAGGCAATTCCACTGAGTGGTGTGAATTGTTGCAAATGGATCTTTCCCCAATCTATGTCAGAATTAATGCAATTCCACGGGGAAGGCAAAAGGTCAAGAACTGATCACACATTACTGATACAGTGTCTGCTAATGTTTCTCTAGATTTAAATCTGTAGATGAATGCCACCTTGTTATTAATATTCTTAAGAAGATGTGGGGGGAGGGAAACTTTAGTACAATCTTGTCTGAGAATCCAATGAAAATAAAATCTATATAAAGCATTTTTATAAAACCACACATGGCAGAATGAATACTGGAGATGTCTGCAATTGCTCTTTTGTTTGTATAATGCATTTCTGTTTAAGTACATACACCTGAAATTTGAAAAGTCAGGTTTTATTAATGAAAGAGATGGAAATGCAGGCCTAATGAAGAGTGACCTGATGTGCATTGGAAATGACTGGTTAGATACACAGAAAAGAACTTGTTTCACACATGCAATCTATTTTGAAGATAACTATGGTTCCTCAAAGCAGCAATTTTCAACCAGTGCACCACAAGAATTTTTAAAACATGCAGTACCTGACTATTTAGTTAGGGACACTGACCTCTTTTCTCTTAGGTTTTCAAAATAGAAAATGACAACAGCCAACACAACAATAACCATTGGGTTCGAATGAATCAAAATCATATCTGTTATTTTGTCAGATCAGCAAAAAATATACTTTTTGGTGTGCCTCAGAATTTTAGTACATAATTTGTTTATGTGTGCTAGGAGATATAATAAGTTGAAAATTGCTGTTTGAGGTATTATACAGGAATACTGAGGGTTAGCCTAAGATAATGAGTTAGTCATTAAGCATCCAAATCTATAAACTGGATATAATAGAAGACTAGTTAAATTATATTTTAAAGAACCAGAAAGAAATTGGCCGTAAAAGAAAAAAAAAAAAAAGCAACTGCTTTTCTTCGGTGTATTGCCTATTTCACCAACGTTTCCCTTAATCACACTTACGGTATGAATGCTACAAAAAAAAATCTCAAATGGAGCCCCTTTAGAAAAATAATTTGAAGTGATATGCTCTCTGGCTATAAAATATGATTTTGATCTTAGAGAAGCAAGGATTCAGGAGTCAGGATGAAAACAAACAGGAAAAATGTTGAACTGGAGGATTATAGTGCATTGGACAAACCATAAATAGTATTTATGATAATGATAAATACTATGATATATATGTATTTTATATTTTACAATTATTTTCTATTAGCCTGAGGGATTTTTTAAAGTAAACAGTGGGACTCCTTTCTATCATTCAGTTCAGTCTAGTCAAGAAATAAGTGACTCAATAAATGTTAATATAGCGAAAGAAGTTAATATATTTACAATCTGATCTAAAGGAAAACAGGGATAACTTTGACCCATTCCTAATGGCATTAACCCAAATTTATTCTTTCAAACGAAGATCTCATAATATCAATTGCATAGCTGATGCAAGAGACTGGCCAGATGCAAGACCAAACAAGCATAGAAATATGTAAGTTTTGAGTAACTGGATGAATAGTGGATTCTACTTTTTATTTAGTATCAAGTAGATTTCTCATGCTTAAATCAATCTCAATGGTAAGCACAATAATGCAATGAAATAATGCAAGATATACATTGGCAGAGTTAGTCCCAGACTTTGCATACTGTTGCATGGCCCTGCTGTAGGCTCTATAGCTAAGAGAGAAAAAATATCCTTTCCTCAAACAATAGTGATCAAAAAGACTATAGTGTGCATCTCTTTTCTCAATTTTTGTTTATTGGTTATTGCCTATCTCTTATGGACCAAATATTCCCATTCTTTAAACTTTATTATTGTAAAGCTCTGAAAAATTAATATCACTACACAAAAATGATACATTTGGTCACAGCATTATATACCTTTATTTTTTATTATTTTTTTCCATTTATTGATTTTAGAGAGAAAGAAAGTGAGAGGGAGAGAGAGAGAGAAATATCGATGAGAGAGAACATCGATTGGCTGCCTCCTGCATGCCCCCCACTGGGGACGGGCCCACAATCTGGGCATGTGCCCTGACTGGGAATCGAACCGGCAACCACTTGGTGCATGGGTCGACACTCAACCACTGAGCCACACTGGCTGGACAGCATTATGTATATATACACCTTTATAAAGTGCTGAATATGTCAGATATTGATCAACTGAAAACATATCCCCAGCACAATAATGACACTGTGAAGGCTAGTAATTCAAGCAACATTTTTGTCATTTAAGCTTCTAAATTCTACCATACAGGAAAACAAAGCATATTCTCTATACAATGTCCGAGGGAAATCATTCAGATTGCCCTTTCCCCTTGAATCAGGGAAAATACTATCGAGCACTTCACTGATAATGGAAATCACTTCCATTGACCTCACTTCTGTGACCTCTTAGTCCTCATTTTTCCCTAGTAACAGCACCCAGGGTACTTTCTGAAAAATGAGTCTTATTGGATTTGGAGGACAAAAGAGCAGCTGTATGACAAAACCCTATAACCGATTTGTATATAAAGTGTAATGTATATATAAAGATGGTAATAGGAGAAAGAATTCATTGTACTTAGGCCATTTTCAAAGTTCACAACTTGTAAAAATAAATGAAATTAATCTTTCAAGACACAAAAATAATCCCAAGGCCTTTGGCATTGCTTGTATAATACAGAGACAAAAATGATGTAGGACGAGAAAATTTACCTATTATTTATTGTTGTGTGCCTATAATATGCTAGGTTAGGCAACAGACTTATGATGTCTCATTTTAATATAACAGCAACATACAACAGATACTGTTATTCTTATTTTAGACCCATAGAAATGGGGCACAGAAAGGTTAGATGATATTCCCAATGTCATGCGACTTATAATTGATGAAGTCAAGGCTCAAATTCATATTTTCTTTACATTAAGGTGCGTGCTCTTTGTACTATGTAACACAGCCAAACCCTGAGATTGGTTATGTCTACAGAGGCCGATAAAGTCATTCAGCACTTACATTAGGCTGTTCTCTAGCTCGTTTCAGTAACTTCTTTTTTAAGTCATTTATAACCAAAGGAGACAAAGTGCTGCCCATGTGTTTCTATTTTCTATGTGGAATAGCTTCTGTGTTTTATTTCAAGTGAGATTACTTTTTAAGTTTGACTATTGATTTTCTTTAAAGGCAAAGAAAACCATCAGACCAATTTTTCTTTCCAGAGAGTGAGTCTTGGAGGGGACACAGAGATGGCACTGTACATAGACCATATCAAAGGGGACACATAAAAGTTGGTATTTTCTTTTTATTACTTGAGAAAAGTGCATAGCGGCAATTAAAGTGCCTGAGTCTCTGGGCTCAAATCTATTTGTTGTGGCTGATAATGAGCACAATGAGAAGATGTGCTGTATTCCAAGAGTGATAACCTTTAAAGTGAAAAAAAAAAAAAAAAAAAAAAAAGAATACAGGTATTCTCCGGGTTTTTAAAGTTCATGTTCAACTGCTTCACTTTTACAAAAGACCTACATTAGTAGTTGCTTCGCTAACCAAACGAAATCCAAAGAGGATTTTCATTTTTATGAAAAAAGTAAAAAGCGAAAATAGCATTGTGTTTGTTTTGCGATGAGCCAGTACAGAGGCAGCACAAACCCATGTAGTCAGAGCGGCACCGGCAAGCTCTTTCCCCAGGAACTACACTCGGCATCAAACCTCCACAGCTTTGAAGTGTGTCTGTGAGCATCTCTGCTTTACCTTGATTTATTTTGTGCTTCCAGTAGCAAGATGTGTCCTAAGGTATCATAAAAGCATAAGGGAGCTAATAATACTGTTACGCTTAGTGTAAAATGGAACATAATTAAGCATATTTAGGGTGACTTGGTAGGTTGTTTTGGGGGTCAGAGAATGCTCCCATTTGTTATACTAATTGCATCTTCGCTCTATGCCATTTGGGCTTGCACAAGATTTCATAGGAACGCTTTACTTTCTACGAGCCAGGGAAAAGGCAGGCAGCAAGTTCCTCTGGAGTTACAGGGGATGTACAAGTTCCATTATTTGCTTATAGGATTCGGGCTATCCCTTCCCCCCTCACCCCAACACTTTGAAACTATTTTCAGCTTTACACATATATTTCATTTGGCCTCCTGGGTGGTTGTCAGCAGGACATTCATCTTTTTCATGGATTCTCTTTAAACGGAGTCAAAAAGATCACATAAAGGGCTATTGGATATTTCCAGACCATATGAAAGGAATAAAATACATACTATGCAATGATGATGTATGTTTCAATCTTCTTTTACACATTAGCTACGATCTTGAAAAGTTGCCTTTAAAGTGTTTATTTCCACAATTGGGTAAAAGGAAATCTTTATGTGGTCAATCCTCTGAACTCCATGCTGCGTGCCATCCTCCTCCGTGGCTGAGCGGGACCTGCGCAGGAAAGCGGGGTTACTGCGGGCGTGGACAGAGCTGGCTGGGAGAGGACCGCTAACCTGAAACACGCTCTCTCTGAGCTCCTGCTTACCACACGCTTGCAAAGATGGCCACTCCTTCATGAAGAAGGCGTCAGACGACTGTCGGACCTCGTGTAAACACAACCACCAAGCATTTTTAAGCAGAAATGTGTCGTCCTCACTGCCAGCTTTGCGTCTCCCTTGCACTCGATTCTCAGTCGTGTCTGCCCACGAGAATTACTGGGGGAGACTTTAAAGACCCTGCGCTCCAGGCCACACTCAGAACAGCTCAATCAGAATCTCTGGGGAGGGAATCCAGGTATCTGTATTTTTTGGGCTCCTGAGGTGATTCCAATGAGCAGCCGAGACTGAGAACCACTGAGAACCACTGAGCCGAGCCTCAATTGTCACCAGCTCCAAGGTTAACATGTTTTCTGGTGCACATTTCGAGAAACCTGGGCCCATGTAGTTCAGTTTTAGTACCATAGTCTATTAAAAACAACAACAAAACCAGATGAATAGCCAGAAGTCATTAAAAAGAAATTTCAGATTTTAGGCATATATCTAAAAGACATTAAAGCAAATTTTAAAATATAGTTTCTAAAAACATTGTTACAACACACCTCCTATCTTCTATCTACTCCCTGACACTCCAAAACCGTTTCAGCTGCATTTTCAAACACTCAACAAAGTCGCCCCTTCAACTATCCGTCTTTCTGGTTTTCTGTCTTCTTTCTGTCCCTCTCCTCTTCATTACCGATCATTTTTTTCTGCTTAGTGTTTCATCGCGCAGATTGACAAAACCAGCAAAAAGAAATCCTTCTTTCTTTCTGTTGGGGAGGGGGCGTTACAAAATGAAAGAACTGCCCTGGCCAGTTTGGCTCAGCGGTTAGAGCGTCCGCCTGCGGTCCGGAGAGACCCGGGTTCGGTTCCCGCTAAGGGCACGTACTTCGGTTGCAGTTTGTCCCCGGCCCTGGTTGGTCGTGCGGGTGGCAGCCACTCGATGTGTCCCTTCACATCGATGTTTCTCTCTCTCTCTCCCTTCCTCTCTCTCCCTCCCACTCTATCTGTCCAAAAAATGGAAAAATATCCTCGGGTGAGGATAAAAAAAAAAAAAAAAAAAAAAGAACAGAACAAAATGAAAGAACTTGGGCTGACCATTCTAGGTTAGTTCGGTGACTTGGAGCGAGAGACGACTGTTAACACTCCCACGTTGTCATTGCTGGTGTTTCCTCAATATTTAATCCTTTCCCTTCAAGACGTAAGATGTGTAATTCTGTTCCCTAAGAGAATCCTTACATTTCAAAGTCCTAGACCTATTTTGATCTTTTGTGAGATAAGGAAAAGGGTACATAGAGGTAATGAGTAATTAGGTGTACTTCTTAGGCCCTAGCTAAAGCAAGAATAGGCCTTTTTAAAAAAAATAAAATAAACTTTTAACAAAGTTTTTGGAATAATTTTAGATTTAACAAAAGATTTGCAGAGTTAGTACAGAGTTCCTGTATATCCTTCATCCACTTTCTCCCACTGATGTACCCAACTGAGGCTGGAGCATTCCTACCACCTAAACTCTTGACCTTCTTCAGGTTTTAGCGGTTTTCCGCTGAGAAACTGCCTGCATGGCAGACTCCCCCACAAAAGAGCCATAATGACAGTGACAGTGTGACCATAGGAACAAGTCTAATCCACCACCATGGATTAGAAAAATCTAGTCAACTAGCTAGCCACAGAAAATTCTTCACCCTTAATATTATATTAATATTTCTTTCTCTTTTGAAATATGACTAAATTGTTTCCTTGTCCTCTTATATAGACAATAAGAATTGACAAATGGACCTGAAGACCAGTTAGAAAGTCTCCCTATTTCCAAAACTCCCACCTTAATAGATTGCTTGCCAGTTCATGATGATCTTAATTTTCCTCTTTTTATTCTATAAAACTTATTATTCTTTCTAAAACTTTTGAATCCCTGATGCAATGAAAATATTGGCAGATGTATTTTCTTGCCATGAGTTTATGAATGGATAGCATTTGTTAATTTTATCTCGCACTCGGTTTTGTCTTGGGAACCATTGGGCATTTTTGTTTTTATGTTGCTTGGAGTTTGCTTTGTTTCTGACATCTGTGGACTGACATTTTCATCGGTGATAAAAAAAAAATGTTATTACTTGTGCACAGTTTCTCACATTATTTTCTTGCCTCTTTCCTGGATATTAATTAAACATGAATTATACCACTAATTGTTTTTCAGCAGGTCTTGGATGCTTTTTTTTCTTTTTATCCTGTGCTTCAGTTTCTATGCCAGTCTGCTTCAGAGTACTTCCAATAAATTCCTTATTTCAGATTCTAAAATTTTTATCTCTACAATGTGTTTCATTTTAAAGCTTCCATTTTTCTTCCTAAACTCGTCCATTTACATGCTATACACTATTTTTCTGCTATTTGTTAAGCTTTCATATGAGTGATGTAAAGTCCTGTTATGTTAAACATTTGAATCATTTCTGGGATTCTTTTTATTGTCTTTCTTTTTTTCTTGATTAAAGGTCATGTTTTTCTCATTTGCATGTCTTTAAAATGTAGACTGTATATTGGACAGTACGACAGATTCACTGCAGAGTGTCTACTTGATCATGTCGTCTTGCTTTAGAGCATGCTGACTTCTGTTCTGGAAGGTAGCGATATGAGAAGAGGACCTTCCTGGTGTTGCTGAAGCTTAGTTTCAGGATTATTTTGGTTTTGCCCTTTATTCTTCCCCGTAGCCCTTTCTCTACAGCCCTTACTCTAATCATCGCATACTCTTTCTGGAGCATAAACTGAATGCCAGGGTTGTTCAGAAAATGATTTCTTCTCTAGTAGGATTTGCACTCTGATATACCTCAGCCGTGTGTGCATCTTCTCAAATCTCTCCCACTTGAAGCCCTGTGGAAGCTGCCATTTGCTAGAATGCAGGGACTCTTGCCCTGCAATTGCATAGCTTAGGGTTTGAACAGGGATCCAAGGGAAACCCCAATACAGATGTTAGGAGCTCTTTAATTTCTAATAACTGTATCCTGCAAATTTCAATGGCTTTTTCAGACCTGAATTCCAGTTTCTTCCTTTAACTATGTCATATTGCTTTGGCTCAATGCAATCAGTGTCTTTCCTTGGACTCCACCACTCTGCTCCATGGTTCAGAGCTCACTTCCAGGCAGAAAGCAAGGTTAAATGCTGACAAACAACTTTAGCTTTCTATCTCTTATGTATAGCAGTACTGATTTTTCTGCTATGCAAGATAAAAAAAAGTAGTATATTAAATTTTTCTAGTTTCATACCTCTGTATAGTATGAGAAAAAACTCCAATACCAATAATGGCTGAAATTAGAATTTTCTTTCTTTACATTTTAGTGCCACATTATTTTGTGTATATGTGTTATGGTGTTATAATTGTTTCATTGTTTTTTTTTTATCCTCACCCGAGGACATTTTTCCATTTTTTGTTCAGATAGAGTGGGAGGGATAGAGAGGAAGAGAAAGAGAGAGAGAAACATCGACGTGAAAGGGACACATCAAGTGCCTGCCACCGCATGACCAACCAGGGCCAGGGACAAACTGCAACTGAGGTACGCGCCCTTATTGGGAACTGAACCTGGGTCTTTCTGAACGGCAGGCCCATGCTCTAACCACTGAGCCAAACAGGCCAGGGCTGTTTCATTATTTTTTATGTAATATCCATAGAAAGGATCTTTATTTATCTCATGTAGTTGTATTCTCTCAAATTCTACTTTATCTGAAATTAACATTAAAAAATATGTTAATATTTCTCTGTATGCATAGGTTTATTTAAATGTCAATTGAGCTTTATAACATTTTCTTGAAATAAAACTATCATTGTTGATTCTATTTAATTATTCAATCTTTTTGCATGTGAAGAACCACAATTTTTATGTTTGTTCTTTTTTAGTATCTTAACTGTTATCTTCTCTCATTATTTTTTGAATCTTGGAATATTTTTAATGACTAAACATTTCAATATTGTGATTTGCATAGATATTTTTTCCTTTTCTAATTTGCTCCAAAATGAATTCTAATTTGGTTTTGAAATTTGGCTATTGCTATAGCATTATATTCTTATAAACTTTCTTCTTTTCTTCCTTTTCCTTCATTTTAGATTTTTCTTTTAAACTCTCTGCCCTATTTTTTATTATTTTAAAAATATTTTTTCTTTATTGATTTTAGAGAGAGAAGGGAGAGGAGAGAGAGAGATAGAATGAGAGAGTACATCAATTGGCTGCCTCCTGCATGCCACCGACTGGGGATTGGGCCCACAACCGGGGCACATGCCCTGACTGGGAATCAAACCAGCGACCTCTTGGTACATGGGTCGATGCTCAGCAACTGAGCCACACAAGCTGGGCTGCCCTATTTTTTAGAAGCCGCATCTTCTTGAGCTCAAAAGATAATACAGATGATTAAAAGAAAACTTATTCCCATCATTTCTAATTTGAATATTATTCCTAAAGTGTATTTTCTCTGTGAGTTTGTAAAATGTTTCTTTGTATGGGAGGTGAAATAATTTTCACATATCGCATTGGTTTTTGATTCTCACTTTACTTCTATATCAGCCTCCTAAGGCAGCAGCAACAGTAGCAGCGGCAAAATGATAGCAGCACAACTGGGCAAAGGGCCTACAAATCGGAGAGAGGATACTTGTTTTCTATGACCAGAAACTGTGGTGCTGAGAGCAAGGAGGGAATCCACATTGGCTTATTTCTCTGTGTGTACGATTGTTTTTTGGCCTTATAAGTAGACACAGTAGCAGATATTTTGTAAACGAGTGAGAAAACTCAAGCACAGTAAGACCAAGAAGTGGGGTCCTGGGAGCTGGAGACTGTCAAGAAAATCACAGAGAGGAGAGATCGCAGGAAAGAGACACTATGATGCTGTATTATCACCTGGGGCCACCCTAAGCAGGCATAGCTGTTTCATACGCATGTTTCT